GATGGCAACCATAGGCATTCACCGAACTCTGAATGCATACTGGTACTAGTCTAGAGTCTAGATGTTTTCAGCACTAGAGTATTGCCATTTTGTCCAAGAAAATCTCACTCTCCAGGACACATCAGAGATCAGACGGCAAACATTCTTATGTTTGTCGTTAATATATGTCCATAGTCAACTAGCCAAATCACAAACTATTCTATTGGAGAATATGTTAATAACAGCACAATTTCCGCACAACATGAAAGCAACATTAACTTTTGGTTGGAGGCTTGGAGCTTAGAAAATGCACGTGAGAAGATCTATCTATCTATCTAATTACTAAACTCCCACAGGTAAGTTCACAGAAACAGTGAATTCCTTACCGTAATGCCAAGGATCTCCGCGCCCTCGGCAAGAAACAGCGTCATGTGGCTGGTGAGGTTGAAGGGCGCCGTGAGCCAGCGTCCGGGGGGCACATTGAGCTGCCCACCGCCTCGCTCCGCGAGCGCGGCGATGGTCTCGACGGCGCGCTCGAACGCCTCGGTGTTGACGGCCCGGCCGTCCCCGACGGCGCCGAAGTCCGTGAGGTTGTACGCCGTGGGGCGAAGCCGCGGCGCGGCGCGCGGCGGCGGAGGCGGCGCCGACAGCAGCCTGAGGAACCCTCCGCCGCTGGAGCCGCCAGCGGCGCCGGCGCTGCCGAAGGACATCGAGGCGCTCTGCCACAGGAACACGAGCGCGAACCCGACGACCCACGCGGCGGCCAGCAGCGCCTTGTTCGCCGCGACGAAGGCGACCGCGCCCCGGCGCTGGTGCAGCCTCCCCACGCCCGTCTCCACCATCGCGCCGCGCCGTCCCCGCGTGCCCCCTGCAGGAGGCGGCGGCGCAGCGGGGCTCCGCTCCCCCGAGATCTCGCGACCTAGGTCGGACGCGACGCGGCGCGGCGCCGGCCTGGGCTCAGTCGGTGGCGCGGGGCGCGAGGGGCTCGTGTTCCCGGGGGGCGGGCCGTGGCCCGTGGGGGAGGGGGTCGGTGTGGGAGGGCGAGAATTTCCGCCATGGGAAGTTGGTGAGGAGGTTTTATAGGATGCGGGAGAAGCCGTTTGAGTGAAGCCGACGCGATGGGATGGCCGGACGGTTGTCTGCGCTCCTCCTGATCATGGTGGGTGGGGGTGCCGCTGCGCAGTGGAAGAAGATGGCCAGAATTACTATGCTGCCACTGTGGAGCCCTGGCCCCTCTGGGGTGTATATGGGCCATTGGATGGACATCGGACGGTGGAGGATTAGCATGCTTGGTGCAGCTTTGGCAACACGGTAATTACAGAAAGATTGCACAAGAATGGATCAATGAAATATTGTAACTCTTAATAAACCTTGTGAAGCCACCACGTTTGATAAAAAACTTGTTCAAAGAGCTCAAAGAGAAATCAAATTAGTTGGACAAGACATGCAAAAGGCATCACAGATGTTTAGCTAAGCAAACGGACAACGGGACAAGACATGTAATCGTGGAGGCAATTGGCCACCGGTAGATGCTCCACTCTGTCTTTTCTAGGTTCACTTATAACAGACATTATTTGTTGCAGCGTTGAGAGTGATATCTAAATACACTTTCTATTTTGAATATTACTTTAGATATACACTCTAAGACATATAATGGCCGAATCTAGCCACCATCAGTCCATATAGTGGCAGGATGGAGGTCGATGAGGGACGCGTCGCAGTCAGGTTTTAGCCATGCAGTAGCTCAGCATGGGTGGACTTTAATTGATCCTGCAAGTATAAAACCTTTTAGATTCAGTTTTCTTTATAAACTGGGTCAGTTTTTTTGACTTAATCGATCATGACAGTTATGTTAAAGAAAAACTTAGTCTAAATTGGAGAGTAATAAGGGCAGTCTTAACCTAAAAAATAGATGAATTTTATGTTTATTAATTAGGGTATCAACTAAATAAAATGGTGATGTGACATTAGAATTAATAGAGAGAGAGAGAGAGAGGCAATGGTTTCTAAGATAAAAAATCATGTCTACTTAGGAATCAAGATATATGGAGAGATCTAATATAATAGGAAAGAGAAGATATGTGATTAGACAAAAAATATATTTTGAAAAAGTCATTTATTAGGATTATGGTTTCTAAGGGCATCTCCAACAATATAAGCTAGCACTAGCTCTAAACTATTAGTCATGGAAGAAAGAGATAATAACATTTATATCACAGTGAGAGAGAGAGAGAGGTACCGTATGCATTCTGCTTGCATTATTTGGTTGGTTTCTCGAAATGGTTTGAAATTTGGTGGTCTTTGGTTTGTTGTGAGAGAAAAAAACACATTGTTATTTGGTTTTTGGATTTGGTTAAAAAACCAACAAGCGAACATGGTGATAGACTATCTCTTTACTCCATGCTAGCTTCTTGCCTTTTGCACTATTCAATGAATAAAAAATTAATTCAGTTTACTCAAAACTAGACTATTACATATGTCCTAAATAAAAGACTATTAAATATAGAAACTACTCCATCTATCCACGAAAGAATGCAATTATCGCTTTTCGAGAAGTCAAATAGTTTGAATTTTAACTAAATTTATATAAAAAAAGTGTAAACATTTATGATACAAAATAAGTACAATTAGATTAGTTATAGAATATATTTTTATAATAAATTTATTTGAAGATATAAATGCTAATAATATTTATTATAAATCTGGTCAAACTTGATTTTTTTTTAGTCGGTACGCATCCCATAATTAACTTCTTTTGCGGACACATGTAGTATCTTATAGGTTTTTTGGTCTGACAAGAAGCCATGGACTCATAGGCTTTAGCTCTGGACCTAACCTTTTGTAATCGCAGTCAACACTCTGACTCCGTTCGCTGGTCTAAATTTTGGCTGAAAAATACTGTTTTGACTGAATTATTGTGAGAGAAAAATATTATTTTGATTAAAAAATAAACCGAACAAATCGAATATAGGATAAGCCGGGTGGGAACAAAACATCTAGAAATCTATCAAACGGAACAACGAACAACAAGAGCGTACAGCAGATTATAGATTTCCTTGTAGGCACGATGCTATGCTACCATGAGTGAGTGGCCTAGCCAACAGCTGACGCTACCTGAACAAAAGCAAGAGCAGACACCTTTTGCATGCATATTGTTCCAGTGGCTCGTTCGGCTGGTTGAATTTTAGTTGAAATTGATTGAAAAATACTGTTCTGGCTGAAATATTATGAGAGAAAAATACATTCCGACCGAAAAAAATCTGATCAAACCAGATATGGGGTAAGCCGAACGGGACCTTCAGGTAGCGTCAGCTGTTGGCTAAGCCGAACGGGACCTTCAGGTAGCGTCAGCTGTTGGCTAGGCTACTCACTCATGGTAGCATAGCATCGTGCCGTGCTTTTCTCCCTGCAGCTCACCGGCATTGCAGAATGCAGAGCACAGGGATATATGGAGATGGAGGCGATAGCAGTTTGGTGTGGGCTGGTGTGGCCATTTCGCCGCCTCTTCCTGACTTGGGTTTGACGCAGCATATAGCAGTAGCAAGTAGGTACGAGTATTCCTTTGGTGACGGACGGGTGAGCCGTGCCTGTCGTTAGGCGAATAAAGCTCGTCGTGGATCAGCATCACCAGATCAGGGAAAATATAATGCCCGTCCTTTGGATTATCCTATGCACCTACCTGATGCGATGGATGCATCAATTGTACGTTTCGTCCACGCCGCATGTTGCACATATGAGTGGCAACGGGACCCCTACAGCAGAGACGATGAGCTTCGTCATCAAGTTTCTAGAACATGAGCTGTGTAGATTGACAGACTCAAAATATGTGGATCCCAACCTTTATGATACAACGGATATCGCTCTATAATCTATCACCCCTTACCTCCAAACTCCAACCTCCAACCTTTATGGCACCGAATATCTCTCTATAATACTATCATTCATGTTGCTTTGAGTACGAAACTGCAAAATCTTTAGTGACGTCGTCCTACTCATGTTATGGACTCACTCCCTGAGCCCATTCATGGATCGGATGTGTGACTTGTCTTCCACCTTTGTTTCTTAAAGACACAATAGTTGCACACAAACTCGTATGTAATGTCACGTGTGTGCATATCACTACCACATATATGAATATCCTTGAGGACCGAAAACCCTCAAGGAAAGCCCCAAAACCGCCAAAGAAATCAATACTGGCGGCTAGCACTCAAGGAATGGCCGCCAAGGATAGAGAGACAGGGAAATAGCTATTTCCTTGAGTGCCAGCCGCGACAAATCATTTCCTTGAGGGTTCAACCGCCAAGGAAATACTTAAGCGGTCAGATTTTTAACACCGCCAAGGAAAAGTAACAACACTCAAGGATATGAGTTTTCTTGAGGGTTGACGACCCCCAAGGAATATAACTGGCCCCCGAGGATATATATTTTCTTGAGGGTTTGTTACCGCCAAGGTATTTGTTGGGCCTCCAAGAATATATATTTTCTTGAGAGTTAGCACCGTCAAGGTAACATAAATGAACCGTCAAAACAGTAGCTTTATCTGAGGGCTCACACCCTCAAGGAAATACAATTTCCTTGAGGGTTTCGACCCCTAAGGAATAATGTGTTTCCTTGGCAGCTAACCCTCATGGTAATGCATGGCACAGGGGCTTAATTGACTAAGAAAATATTGATCATTCATTATAAATGTAAACCAAAACAAATATCAGGATAGAGGTCACAATTAAACTAAACCAGTGCTAGATTAGATAACACATCCAATATCCATCGGTTCATTACATGTCCATTTTGTAAATATAAGACTTAGGTAAATAGCAACAGTGTATCATCTTACATGTCAGCAGGATAGCAGCACATACACAAGGCAAATACTGCACACAGTTCATAAGACAATATTGCACTTAGCAAAAGATCAGCCTAATATCATCTTAGTTCCTACCAATTAATAAACCCAAAAGAAAGTCCACGTCCCATTGTGCAGTCACTTAGAGTTGTTGGAATTAGTTTGTCTGCATGCATAGTCACTGCTCAGTAGAGCAGTGATCATCATCGCTTTGGGAGGAGCTGCAATCATCACCATCTTCAAGACAGCCATCGTCATCATCGTCCTCAATGTGGTCATCATCATCGTCTTCATTGGAGTACTGGACATGATCGTTGCCTTGATGGTAGCTGTAGTCATCATCATCGCTTTCATGGTAGCTGTAGTCATCATCGTCGTCTTTGTCATCAGCATTGTCGTTGCTGCGCCTTTCATCAACAGAATGAGAGCCTCCATGTGACCTAGTAGCCTGCAAAAGGCAATATTGAAATATTTTTGTACAATTCTGGAACATAAAAGTTTGGTCTTCAATCTCTAAGAGCCTACTACTGAGGGTTGTTTTGCTGTATTATTAAAACAACCTAGTAGATGGAAACCCTAAAAAATAGGCATATGCCAATCAAAGCTTTTCTTCACTACCTTACCATGAACATAAAACCTAAAAATGGCATTGTTAATCAACAAGAATCCACTTGTTCACTGCAGCAACTCGTATTGCCATTCTACCACAAAACAATATTAATTCTCTAGATGAATTGTGATCAAAATAAATAATATGAATTGCATAAACAAATTCAATAAATAATGTAACCTGATGACGACGGGCATCAAGGTATTATAGACGTTGAAGCAGTTCAGCAGGTGGTTCTACACCTATCCGATCAAACACACTCTGCAATTGAAAGTATCCAAATGAAATTGTATGCTTAGGACACAGTAATTGCAGATACAATGAAAAAAAATATTACCTTGAATAGCTCGCGACGAATTCTATTTTCCTCAGTGAGTATGTCATTATTCGTTTTCAATTGTGCATTTTCTTGTAGCACACTTTCATAATGATCAGGATCATGTGGCCTAACATATACATATTTGGAATGTGCTAGAACAATTGCCTTATCCACAGCACCATCACCTATTGGAACACGGCCATGCTCCATGCCACGTCCTATAGTGTACAATGCTCTTCCGTCCAGTTCTTGTGAATTTGCATCTGGAGCTAATGCCATGTACTTATCCTAACATAGAAACAGGAAAATATATCAAAGGATGCCTCAATTCAGTTTACAGAACAAATAAAAGCATGTTGTGCAGAGCATACCAATCTTTTTTGTGCTTTCTGGCTAGGGATTGGAGCACTCCTTCCGGTGCTATTCACTTTTTTAACTCCAGATTTCATTGCAGCAAATGTGTTTATCCCACTCTGCGGACGGCCAGATTTAAATTCCTGTAAGATTAAAACCACAAATTATGCATGCGTCAGTTATAAGCAGCAAGCAGACATTGTAAGCTGCATATTATAAGCTGTAGAATTATAAGCTGCACAAGAATTATAAGCTACAAATTTCAATGGTTCCTAACTAAAATAGTCAAAACACAAGCATTTGTCACAACTAAAATAAGCTAGCTATAGAATTATAAGCTGCAGATTTTTTTTCAACGGTTCCTAACTAAAATAATCAAGACACAAGCATTTGTCATACCAAGAACTGTTGTGTCTTTGCAAAATTTCTTGAACCTCCTCTATTTTGAGCTGGATCATCACAACTCATGCGTGATTGTTGGCCTCTGCGTCTCTTTTCCTTGTACTCATCAGAAGTCCAGTATTTGGCAAGCAAGGCCCAAACTGCCCTGTTGCACCACTCCACCCGACAAGTCAAGTACTGTTCTTCTATTAGTTCAATGATGTGGGCTCGAGTATCATCGTAGTCTTCGTTATTTCTATGACACCATTTCTTGACAGCCTCCAAACGGACTTGGTACATCATATTAGTTACTCTCTTGACTAGATAGTTCTTTAGATTTTTTGTAGCACGTGCCCTATGCCGTGGATGAGATGTAAACGTACTCTGCATATGCAAGACAAGTCAAATAAATTACTACAAATTCTTTAATCTTGCCGAGTGAATATTCAATCCTTTTAGAATTATGCAATCAGGATGCAATGCACTGCATTGAAGAAATAAGAAATGGAGAAAAAAGATTTAAAGAATAATCTGAATAAGTTAGTGTAATACCCAGAACTCCTGCTTCCACTCTTGTCGCACAGCAGATTCCTTCTTTATTCTTTTTCCAATAATAATCATTCCATGAAAATACCGGTTTTACTTTCACAATTGTGCCTTTCTCATCATATATTCTGACGATACTTGGGTACTCTCGCTTGAGAATAGTTCCTAACTGTGAGGGGTACTTGCAGCATTTAGGGTTATAATCAACATATTTGAATTGGCTGTTGTAAACAAGTCAACACATCAATTATTCAGCTTCATATACAAAAAAAATATGTAGCAGAATGAAAAGAACTACAATGTTAATCACAATTGATATCATATACATACCAATGACCTATAGGTTCCAACTGAACTCTACCACTACATGGAGGTATTTTGTACTTGGTCCTGCACATTTTCGCTCTCCCTCTTTTTGGAGGATCATGAGAGGACTGGTTGGAACCAATATTTAGTTGTGAGTTATCAAAGTTCACTTGTGAGTTACCACCTTCAACTCCAGCCATTTGAGAGTTAAGACCATTAGCATTGCTCCTTTGTGAGTTACTAGAAACATCTCCAACCATTTGAGAGTTAAGACCATTAGCATTGCTCCTTTGTGAGTTACTAGAAACATCTCCAACCATTTGAGAGTTAAGACCATTAGCATTGCTCCTTTGAGAGTTAAGACCATTAGCATTGCTCCTTTGTGAGTTACCAGAAACATCTCCAACCATTTGAGAGTTAAGACCATTAGAACTGATCCTTTGTGAGTTACTAGAATCATCTCCAACTGTTTGAGTGTTAAGACCATTCAAACTGGTCCTTTCTAAGTTAGCACCCTCAGTCCCAACCACTTTGGAGTCGACACCAAGAAAGACTTGCTCCTTGTAGAGTTACCACCATCGGGACTACATGCTAATTGGCCACCAAAGAACACTTTGCTCCTTATGAGGTTACTAGACTTCTCACCCTCACCATTGCTTGCAACCCCGACCAAAGAAGACTGCTCCTCCTTTTGGTGTTACTACCTTGAGCTCTAGTCCTTCTAGTGTTAATTCTGAACTACTCACCATCACCGGTACTTGCAAAGTGACCACCAGCAGCACTGCTCTTTTTGGGGTTACTAGCTTCAGCTCTAGTCCTTCTAGTGTTAGGTTTACTAGACCTCACACCATCAACACTACAACCTGTTTGGGTGCCTCCACCCTTTGGTGCAGCCTGCTTACTCAAGACTTTTGTGTCGAAGCCCATGCATCTCCTATTTTATAAGGAAAACAATGAGTAAATTGCACATGTGTCAAGGAAAAACATATCCATAATCATGCAACAACATATGTATATATCACACTTTCTGCACATAACAAGGACAAGAAACAACACATATAACAGGTACTTCAACATAAATCTTGTAGCACCCGGTTTTAAGGACAAAACCAGATACACACCATATGTGAGCCCAGAAAGTCAAATCACACATATGGCTACAAATAAAAGTAATATCAGAAATTTTGGGGTGTGACAAATCTTGATTAGTTCCATAAGGCACACTAGTTGTTAAGTGAATACAGAGTGCAGGTACAATTTATAAATAGTCAATAATCATTTGGATCATAAGCTGGATGGTCAGTCAGATCATAGTCATCTTCATCTTCATCTTGATCCTCTTCATCATCTTCATATGTATTATCATCCATATCTTCAGCTTCAGTATTCAATTTGGACAGAAACTCCAAGTCCTTGGGATCAGTTATCTCATCTGAAACAACTGGGGTTGCATTATCTAGCTCAATGTTCAGATCAATCACAAATGTGCCATCCAATCCCTCATTTTGAAAAAATGAGAATTCTTGTACTTGTGATGGCCCAGAAGCACTAGAGTCATCACTGATGCCATATGGAGGAATATAGCCACGTGGACTAACTTGATATACAACCCACCATTCAGCTAGATCTGGTCTTTTCGTACAGGCATAAGGTAGATAATAAACTTGTTTAACTTGGCTTGCCATTACAAATGGTTCAAAAACTAAAAGTCTAGCAGCATGTTTAACTTCCACCAGCCCTAAATTTTATGTATGCTTAGTTCCATTTGGTGTTGGATCAAACCAATCACAATCAAATAAAACCATCTCTAGTGGCAAGCTTCCTTCCCATTTTACTTTTATTATGTCCTTGATGACACCATAATATTCCGTCTCATTGTTGTTGTCATCAACACAAGACACACAAACACCACTATTAACCGTAGCTAAGCCTGATTTAGCTCTCTCATGCTCTTTTGATCGAAACCTATAGCCATTGACATCATAGCCCCCATAACTGGTTACCCTACTACGAAAACCATAAGATATTTGGCATAAGGCAGCATCAACACCAGTTGTTTGCATGCAAGATTGGTACATTACTTAATTTGAAAAGGCTTAGTAGGATTACTTCTTTGAACCACTCAAAGAAATTAGAACCACGTTCTCCTCGCATACCCTTCCACCCCTTCAACCTTAACTCCCTAAGTTGTTTAGGTGTTGGTCTTCTCCAGCCCTTCCACTCTGCCTTCTCAAATTTACTAGGGAAATACAGCAAGTAAGCGTACAGCCACAAAAAATATACAAAAATGAATTATAGATTGCAAAATAAGTGTGCGTGTATTACTTGAAGTGTTCGTCCATCTCAGGCATGTTCATCAAAACATATAGGAAAGCAGCCTCATACTCTTCTGTTGTGAGCGAACGAGCACCACGAGGGCTAGTACACCGGCCAGGGTTTTGAAAGTGTTCGAGGTTGCATGAACTATGATATGTAGAAGCTCCATCATCATATCTAGCAGCTTTATTTCTAACTGATCGGACATGGGACTTGAAATAAAGGGAGAGGAAATTTGTGGCCTCATCAACTAATTCAGCCTCGATGATGCAACCCTCAACACGGGCCTTATTCCAAACCTTCTTCTTAAGTTGTTGGATTTTCCTATAGGAAAGAAACAGAACCAAGGAAAGAATTATAAAAGAAAGCCCTATATATTTTTCTGTTTCGTTGTTACCTCTGAAATGAATAGTTCCAACGGGCTTGGACAGGACCTCCTAGCAGAGCCTTGTAAGGAAGATGAATAATTAGGTGCTGCATTGGATTGAAGATACTTGGTGGAAATATCTTCTCCATTTTGCAAAGAAGAACTACTACTTGTTGTTCTAGTGAGCGAATGTTGTCCTTGTTCAATTCTTGGGCACAAAGCTGCCTATAGAAAAAGCTAAGCTCATCCAAACACAACCATACACTTTCTGGAAGGAACCCTCGAAAAGCAACAGGGAGCAAGCGTTCCATGAAGATGTGGTAGTCGTGGCTCTTTAGACCCAAAATCTTCCTTGAAGTCAAGTTGACCCCTCTTATAATGTTTGCTGCATAGCCATCAGGAAACTTGAGTTCTTGGAACCATTGAAGGATTGTTGGTTTGTCATTCCTGTCAATGCAAAATCGGGCCCAAGGCCTGTCCCACTGGCCATTTGACTTTAGCCTCAAATGCTATGAGGGACGGTGGCAAATTTCAACTACATCTTGTCGAGCCTTAACATTATCTTTAGTCTTATCTGATATGTCAAAGCATGTATTCCATATAGCTTCCCCTAAGTTCTTTTCATTATGCATTAAGTCAATGTTGTGGCGCAACAATAACTTACGAAAGTGTGGAAGTTGCCAAAAACAACTAATATGGGTCCAATTGTGTAATTTGCCAATATCTTTGTGTGTCATCCACCAACGTGTTCATTTGGGCTAAGATTTCCTCCCCTGTTAAGTGCCTTGGAGGCTCATCATGCATGTATGTGCCCTTTCTAAATCCATTAGCATCAGATTTGAATACATGGTCTATAGGTAAGAAGCACCTATGGCAATCAAACCAGCATGCCTTGCGACCATTACAGAGTCGGAATGCTTTAGTGTCACACAAGCATACTAGGCATGCAAGCCTACCATGGGTGCTCCATCCAGAAAAGTTACCATAAGCAGGAAAATCATGGATTGACCACAAATAAGCTGCCTACATTTTAATGTTTTGCTTGAGTGAGGCATCCCAAGTTTCAACCCCTTCCCATAAGTTCAGTAGTTCATCAACTAAAGGTTGCATAAGTATGTTAAGTTTCTTTCCAGGATGTTCAGGACCTGGGACTACAAGGGCAAGGAATATGTACTCTGACTTCATGATAATGTCGGGAGGAAGATTCAATGGAGTCACAAAAACTGGCCAGCAAGAATAAGGAGCTGCATTTATACTGAAGGGTGTAAAGCCATCTGTAGCCACAGCAAGGCGGACATTTCTAGGATCAGAAGTAAAAATAGGAAAGTCTTCATCAAACTGTTGCCATGCTTTCCCATCACATGGGTGCACCATCTTATTTGATGTGGACCGCTTGTGAGACTGCATCAACTTTGTGGTTGTTTCATGTGCATATAATCTTTGTAGCCTATCTTTGATGGGAAGGTACCACAATACTTTACGTGGGACTCTATCATGTCCTTCCTCATAGCGCGAGGTACCGCAAACATCACACTTCTCTTTACTTATATTGTCCTTATAGTAAAGCATGCAGTTATTATAACACACATCAATTTCTGATATGGCATGCCTAGGCCCTCTAATAATTTCTTTGATTGGTAGAAGTCTTTGGGAATCTTACTGTCTGAGGGCAAAAATTCATGGATTAACTCTAAATTTGCTTCAAAGTGTGCAATTGACATATTGTACCGTGATTTCAAAGCTAACAAATGTGTTGTAGCAGACAGAGCGGAGTGTGTTGAATTATCAAAGGCTGGTTCATTGGCACTATCAACCATCTTATAAAAAGCCCGAGCTGAGGCTGTAGGCACCTCATCATTGGTCAATGGATGACCATCAGCTAGGTCAGCTAACATATCATGCATGTGATCACATTCTTTGAAACTCTCATCACTTCCAACTTCTACATCAGTCTCTCCATGTGCTGTCCATGCTCTGTAATCTTCCCTAAACCCATGTTTACACAAGTGCATCTCTACATAGAACCTTTTATGCCTAACATAGTTTCTACACAAGGCACATGGGCACTTAATGGTGTCATTTTCAACCAGGCTAACCATGGAGAATGCACGGTCTAAAAAGTTGTTTGTGTTTTCAATCCACTCATTAGAGGGGGCTTCCCACGTGACCAACCATTATACATCCATTCATGATCTGCCATGACTCTAAATCTGTTTATGAGAGAATATGAACAAGATGATATATTTTAGTTTCAGAACAAATTGGCACATGAATCAACCAATAGAGGCATTGTAGTTAATGGCCAAAAAAGATATAGCAAAGCATGCAGCTTACAAACAGATACATCCAACTTAATGTCTAACACACAAATGCCATCTCAATCAAATGCACAATTGATGATACTTAATGCTTTGTTGCTTGAAACCGGTCGATGCTGGTACTGTTATCGTACTATTACACGATACATAGATCGTTGCCTCCACAGTGTGGCAGAACCGCCTAATCTAATGCCTTCCAGGAGTGCTCGTCTTCTATTAGACACTAAGCACTCGAAGGAGGACACCAAATCACGTGGTCCCATCGGGCACACTCCGGGGAGACATGAAAAATCTATTTTTTCCATCAGGATCATAAATGAGAGAATAAAGCTTACAACATTCTTAACCATTTCTTACATCACTTTTAATACAATATCAGAGTATGATATTTATTAGTATATCAGCGGAATGTAATCATATTATCAGAGTTATAAATAATTTAATTTAACAGCGAAAATATAAACATCTGAATAGGGTTATAGCGAAAATAATTATCTAATCATGATGTGATAAAGTATTGATATATAAAAACTATGATAACAGATTATAAACTTTTATTTATAAAAACATTTGGTAAGAGTTATAAATAAAAACTACGATCGCAACGTAAAGGAATCCTCTCTGAGCCCACCAGGAGGAATCCCCACACAATGGTCAGCTCTAGCATCCACCTGTCACCTGCAACAGGAGGAAATAAAACCCTGAGTACTCAATTGTACTTAGCAAGACTTACCCGACAAGAGGAAAGAAAAGACTCCAAGGATATCCAAGGCTATCTGGCTTGTGGGTTTATTGCATCTGTAGGAGCATTACTAAAAGTGCGTCCTTATATTCGATTTTTATTAGCAGTGCATTAGTTCATTAACTAACCATTCTATGTAAGCACCTATGCTACTTTCAAGCAGGTGGTAAACAATCAGATTTTC